TGTTATTAATATTATAATTATCGGAAAAAAAATTGGAAAATTATACGTAACGTTGAAACAAATGTACAGAAATGGTGGTTCATTTATGAAAAAATTTCTTTTCATTCACTCTCTCCCCTTTCTCTTTTACATCTCGTTTCGTTTGCTCTCTAATTTCCGGTCACGGAAATTGGAGAGTATTGTATTTCTATAGTTGCTTCGGTACAAAATATAACGAAGATCGTGCTTCGATGCTCGATTAGCTCAATCGCCGTGGCGATGGTTTCCATTGTTTCTTCGACTACGGATTTTCCTGAAAACTGTCCGACAAAACGGAAATCCCGATAATTCACCCGCTTTTTCACAAGTACAGGAGCTTGCTACATTATTTATTTGCTCCACAAACAATTACTTATGATTAATGATAGCTGGCTGATCGAAACTCTTCAAAAAACGGAATAATAACAATATCTGTGCATATATCTTGAATTATACATTTTAACAAAGAACAGTTACACTCGAAAAATCAAAAGGAATTTTCTTCTTGCAAAATAGAGAAGACAACTCTTTAACGTTGTGTAAAATCTCTTTCTAAATATACAAAATTAAAATTACAGAATATAGAAGAAAGTCAAGTATGAGCAGAAAGTATATTTTAATACATATTAAATATTTATCTCTTAAATATTATTACAATATCCCATTTTAAATATATAGAAAGTTAAAGGAAATATAGACGAAAGTCCACTAAGAGTGTTAAATTATTCAAATGACAAACTTTTGATCCTCCCAGTACATTACGTATTTATTTTGAAACAACCAAAACCTCGTGAAATTCAAAAATTTTGATGAATCATTACGAATGCATAACAGAAAAAAAAAAAAAAATGGACGAAGGGATTGAAAAAGATTTGGGGCGTGCAGGCGGGAATTTTTGTATTAGCCCCTCGCGGGCAGGGTTGGAAACAAATGGCGTCGACGACGATAAAGGAGGAGGCAGTGGGAGAGGCAACGAAACAAAGGAAGAAAAAAAGAAATCCAAGCTTGTTTCACAAAGAGATAGATGACGGCTGGGAATATTGGATTGAAACGCTTTGCCTGTGTTTTTTCCACCCCCTCTCCTTCTCTTCGGCGAAGTGGAGGACTTCAGAATAATCTCCGTGGTATTTCACCATTTTCAAAATTGCAGACGGACTTTGCCTTCCAATTTTTTTCTTTTCCTTTTTCTATCCTGCAATTTGTTTATTTATTTACTTCTCTTTTCTTTGTCAATCGAGCCTTTGTAACGTGAAGCAGAACTCGCCTGTACACAGATTCCTCTGTATTTTTTCAATTTCATACCAAATCGTTTCGGTATTCTATACAGTTTTTAGTGCAAACTTCCTCTGTCTTTTTTTTTTTTTGCGGAGGAAGTACAAATTTTGGAGGAAACCAATTTTTAGAATTTGTATTTTTATCGACACTCCGTGCAGAATGAGTTTATTGATTCATGCGAGATGTGAAATAATTTTGCACCCAATACGATTTGATAAACATAAAATTTACTCCGACAGCAACTAAAATCGACCGCAATTTTTCAGTCATCTCTCCTTCCAAAATTGTGAAGTTTTTAAATTCCAAAGATAAAGAAAGAATTTATGTGATTGAAGTGATTTAATTATAATTGAATAATTCATGTAATTTGAATTTACAATTTACATACTAGTCGAATTAATTCATAGAATTAGTGTCAATTGTCAAATTGCATTTCGAAACGTATATTTTGACTTGACGAAACTTGCTACTTGGACCACGTGTTTGATTAGAGTCGTGCCTATACTACTTGCGCCGCGCTCCACTATATACAGAACGTGCTATCTGAATTGTTTGACTACGAACTTCCTTAACTCCTCAACCACTAGCTCTCCGCAACCTATAAAACGAAATGCTTGCAAAGAAACTGCATTTGAATCGAAATTTTCGAAGATCGTGCAATTTTCCCAAATTTGCAATAATTTCGACGTTTACACCGATACAAGTTTCTTTCTATTTACATAGTATATTGTTACACATTTTTCCTTCAATTTTAAAAAGAATTAAAGTTTCAGTAAAGTATCTTTGGACGTCGCATCATTTTTCTCTTCCGTAGTAATGTTATTTCTTTTATCCGAGATTTATATTGAATTAAATTTAATTAATTATTAAGATACTAAATTTTCGTATCTACTGTATCAAATTAGAACATTAACATTTCACTTGGAATCGTAAATGATAATTCGAAGCGAGAAATGAGATCACATTTTAATAACCCAACCAAAAATTGTAAATGAAATAGAGAAAATTATTTTTTAAAAATAGCTAGATGGCTCGAGTAAAAAAAGTCCGACTGAATTTTTGCGTGGAATTTTTTCTCGTGACAGGCAAATCTGATAATTAGATCAACAACGAGTTTACAACACAGAGAAAAGGACAAACCCCCTGGTTAGGTAGGGTCGATTCGATTTTATGAAATTAATTTAGCTGCGAACCGAGCTCTCGCTTCTTCACTTCCTTTTCTGGCTACGACAGTCAGCAAGTAAAATGGAAAGGTTCAGCAGTTTTCTCTCTGTTTTTTCCCTGCCCTTTCTTTTTTTTTTTTTTTTTTTCTCTTAATACGATGCGTACCTTTTCTTCCGGAAAATAGAATAATTCAAATGTTCATTACAGAGAATGCTAATACTGTTAACTTTTATCAACTTTTATTAACAAATATTGTTAATAAAATAACAATAGTATTGTTATATCATTATAATTAAGAATATACATATACGTTCTTGTAAGAAATAAAGCATAGTTTTTAGAGATTCTTGCAAAATATTCCTTCAGATGCTCTTTCATCGTTAAGAATAGTTATCGTTCGTCATTTGTTGCCTGTTTTGACCGCCTGCGACCGGAATGCGACGTGCAAATATTTATTGACTTGGTAGGGAACAAATGGCGAATCGTTGTTTCAATCGTATCGTGATGGGAAATGTATCCATTGATATTCACGTGCACTTCACCACCTCGATTTATAACTACGTGCGCACGTGTTTTCAACAGAAATTCAATCTCTTATGATCAATCATTTTTCAACAATTCCTCCATTTGAAAAGAATTTGAAAAGAATTTGCATTTCGGCGCAATCAGTTAGTTTTTCATTTGCCTCGCCAATCGAAAGACACAATTAAAAAGACTCCGAGATAGCAACAGAAATTGGCGTGATCGAATTTTATCTTGCGTTCTTAACCGTCCGCGCGGGCAACTGATTGCGGACCATAACGAGTGGCCAAACCGTATACAATAATTCGTCGCTTTGATGAAGCGTTTTCTTTCTTTTTTTTTTTAGGAGATTTCATTGTAATTTTCTTTCTGATACTCTCAACTAATGCGAAATTGATTAGATCGAACACCTCATTTGTGATATTTATTTTAAGTCGAATGTTGCGAGCTTTCGTTTATAGTTCGTTCGCTGTCAGTAGAGCAACGCCCTAAGCTACGCCAGCCAAATATCAAATGCATGGCCAATACTCTCCGAGTGGAATAATCCGTCACTCGTGCAACACTCCAAGTAGAATGATCCACGCACGCGAATCGATCCAACGCGAATAGAACGTTCCACTTTCTACGTTTGCGCCAGTAGAGGCGCCGCGTGCGTGTCAGACGGCCAGAAGCGTAACTCGCTACAGGGAGGCCGGATATCCGGGCTTCCCCTCGGTTGTTTAATCAGCCTATCGTATAATAATATACTATAATCCTAGCGCACAGGTCCACGAAATATACTGGCCGTTTCGATTGGGACAAAAACTACATTTTTCATGAAAGTATATTCAACCCGAATAACGTCGAATTGAATGTTGCCATTGTTGCACGTGCGCTCGATGAAGTTTCGAGTTTCAGGTTGAAACTGGTCAAGTTCCAAAGACAGAAGTTCATTTCAATTATGCATTAATGAAATTCTTCGTGGAAAAATTTTTGTAAGACTGTCTGTTAGTCGTTAGTATACAAGAAAATAAGAAAAAGATCTTGTCAATCTTTTCAAATATATATTTGAATCTAGTTAATTTCGTACTAAACAGGAGTGAATATTCCACGTGCAAAGGTAAGTAAAAATTTCTTAGATTAGGTCTGTAAAATTGGAAAGAATTAAAGGTACGCGTGCAATGAACAAAATTTGATAACCTACGTGAAATGCTAAATTATTAAAAAACGAAAAGGTGTCCTGACACTTTTTTAAGTAGGAGGTGTTGGTCCAAGTAGTGCGAGTCAGTGTTTCATCGGGCCAGGTACAAAAGCTCTTTCCAAGGCTGCCACTTGTAAGACATCACACTAACGACCATGACGGGCGCGAGTAAAGGGAATAGACTTCAAAATGAAGCCTCTTTGAGCAGGTACGCGATGTAAATTCTCTTCAGTCGTGTTTCTACGTGCGCATTTCAGCTCTTTTAATGTATGGGTCAAAAAAAAAAAAAGAAAAAAAAAGAAGAATTGTCGAGTCTGTTGTATAAAAGCAGTGTGACCAACCTTTTATCATTTGGTCTAGAAGCAATGTCGTTGCTTCTTAGTATTTTTTTTTTTTTTTTTTTTTTTAGAGCGAACCACAACGACGATTCTTAGAAACTGCTTTCAACAAGTGATAGTATCACCTTTTAACTATCTTTCCGCGAGAAATTATTTCTCAGAGGCTCAAAATGGCGGTTTTTGTTACATCTTGCAGAATAGAGTAACGAATTACTCTTTAACGATTAAAACAGTTCTCCAGTTCATTCTTCTCACGAGTTTTCATTTATGACACGTCCACGCTATCAGTCTGAAGTTCTAAATCTTGGAGAGAGTAACCTAACTTAAAACGTTCTCAGGGAAAGTTCTTCTCTACCTGTCGCAATAAATTCTTTCCAAGAAAAATAAGTCGAGCAAGTTTTACATTTGGCGACGTTTCCGCTCCGCATTCCCTTGCAACGGAACGCAACAATTTTTGGCATTTGGTATTGCGACGAAGCGGTTGAATAGGATAACAGGCTCACCGAAAAATGTTCCCACGCTGTTGGCTATCGCCCCGGAAACGGCGCCGTCCGCAAGGGCGTCCAGACAGGCGCTAAGGGCGCAGGCACACGCGCTCGTACCTATAAGGTACTCCAGTATCATGTTCCATCCAATAATGAATGCTATTAATTCGCCTACGGTCACGTAACTGTACATGTAAGCGCTGCCAGTCGTGTGAGGCACTCGTACTCCAAACTCAGCGTAACATGCTCCTGCAACATCAACACCAGACACCATTTTCAGCGATTACAATCGAAATGGATAGATATTTGAGCAAGAACTATAATAAATAGTGTCAGTTTCGTCTCTCACTAGGGATTACCTCGCGTTATGGGAATGTATGAAGATGGACGCAATGCAGCATATCTAACGTATTAAAAGTGGAGCGTCTGAAATTACAATTCTTCTAGCATGCTTTGTGCATCGAAGAAAAAAAAAAAGTTCATCAAAATAGTTGTGACCGGAATTATTTCCCATCAGTCGAAAAATTTCTTAGAAAAATTCCTTCTTGCCGTAATATCAAGAAAACCTGCCATCGTTAGAAGAATATTTTTGATAACAATCGATTCACACGTCGGTGACAGTACGAGAATAAAGATCAGAGAGACATCGATGGAACAATGAGCCGGCATAATAGATTAATAATTATTTCACGATTTCCGTTTAACTCGCGCGAAATTTCCACGGAAGTGGAAGCATTCTCCATATGAGATGCATCGTTAATTATTTAACGCTGTTAAATTTTTAATTACTCGAAAGGGGTTTAATTAAAAAGGGATTTAAGTTTTTAATTATTTAAAAGAGATGTTTTCAGGACTCCTTTCTTTCTTTATATATATATATATATGTATATCATTCAATTTTTAGGTTGATCTTCTTTTTCAATATGCAATTTACCTTTCAAATTGACTTTTCAATTTTTCAAACCAACTTTTGTCCAAGTATTTCTGAAAATTACCATGTGAAATCATCTTCTCTCACTTTGTTTCTCTCTGCTTCTTCTTTTCTAATAAAAAGAAAGCATCATCGACAGATAGAATGACAGACAAGACAAAGTTTACGTGGGGTAATTTAGAATTTTATAAAAATGGGAAAGCTGAGAATTGAACATGTACAGGGTCGTCATATGGACGTCCACGGACAGCTACGGGGTTCACGCATCTGGATGCACGAAAGCAATGGCTGACGCACAACCCGTAAATCTGATCCGACATTATTTTCCACTCGCCTTGAGCCACGACGCGTGTCCTCCCATATATGTGTCAGCAGAGAGAGATGTATGGAAGGACGTGCACCATGGAGATTATGGTTGTAACCGATGACCTGATACGGGAGAAAGAAGGGAAACGCATTTCTCCAGTGGCAACAGCGACATTGCCAGTGGATTTGACGACACAGGCGAGGCGAGAGTATGGATATAATAGAATTACACAGGATGGCCTCGTATAGACGGATAATGCAGAATATTGCATTACATTTGGAAATTGTAATGCTGTAATATTTAGGTTTAAATATTAAAAAATAATACTGTAATATTAAAATAATAAATATCAAAAAATAATACTGTAATATTAAAATAATAAATATTAATAAATAATACTGCAATATTAAAATAATAAATAATAAAAAATAATACTGCAATATTAAAATAATAAATATTAAAAAATAATACTGTAATATTAAAACAATAAATAATAAAAAATAATACTATAATATTAAAATAATAAATATTAAAAAATAATACTGCAATATTAAAATAATAAATATTAAAAAATAATACTGCAATATTAAAATAATAAATATTAAAAAATAATACTGTAACACTGTAATATTTAGGTTTAAATATTAAAAAATAAAAAAAATACAATATTACAGGAAAATTGTAATATTGTAATATTTAGATTTGACACTGGGAAATAGAACAATTGTAATATTTAATTAAAAAGTATCGAAAAAGTATCGTATTACAGTCTTAAAACGATAGAAAGCGATGAAAAGTTTCATGGAACACGGCCAAGTTATACAAAACGTCTCGTAGAACTGGGACTTCACGACAGATTCTGCGAAACGAATGATAAAAAATTTTACGAGATAAAATTGCATTATTTGAGGTGAATTTTTACAACTGATAATGTTTTAAAGATTTTAAAAGCAACGTAGGTTTTTTTTAATGAGATTGTAAGTCTCCTTTTTGCGTATGTTATTCGAATAACTATGTGTCTAGAAACGAATTTAAAAGATATTTAAAATATTATATTTATTAATTAGGATCTTTAATTAAGATTATTTATTTTGAAACACAAAAATTTTGGTAACTTTTTATAGCGGATAATAATGTTTTAATTATAAAAACGTAAGTCGAACTGAAATCTCGGGAATATTACATATCCACAAATATATAGATTCATGTATTGTGTAACGTGCCATCATTCGATTTTTCCCTAAATTTTTCTATCATAAATCTTGTATCATATTCGATTCCAACAATGTAAACAATGATTTTTACAATTAGTCAAACAATTATTTATAGTGTCCAACAATTCACACGAATCAGACAAAGAAAAGTATAGCCTACATCTGTCTAGATAAATTATAAATATGGAACACTATAAAATCTGACATAACAACACGATTTCCAAGTAGAATGTAAACGACTATAGGCCACAGCAAGTAGACCAGTATGTAACTTTCAATTTCTAAGAAGAATAACCTTGCCTGTAAAAGAAAATTACAATAAACAGAATACTATAATAGTTAATTTTTAAACAGGTTTGGGTTAATAGTTAATAGAACAGGTTGTTTCACACAGAGAGTATAAGGAATCATGATCAAACACGAGCAGGTTTGAACAAAATTCTAAGGAGAGTAACTTCGTATATAGAATAAAATTAGATAGTATAATTTTTTCATTATCCTCGTGTATTTTTTATTATCGTTCGTGGGAGAATATACCTTCTGCACCGTGTGTTTTCTAAAACTCATTTTCAGCACGATCGTCGACTAAAATCTAATATTTGTTTATTAACATTTAAGAATTTATTAATACTTAAGAATTTATTCGACGAATCTCGTAAGTAGAATACAGCGTTCCGAGTAGTAATAAAACCCGACTGCGGTCAGACACGAGCAAGTAGAACAGAATTATGCACGGTACTCAACTTCTAAGGGAAGTAGGTCCGTACATAGTCAGACGTCGGCGCAAAATTCTACCGAACGAAACAACAAAAGGTGTTTATTCTTTTTTTAAATGTTCACCGTGTATGTCGCGGTTCGGTGTTTTCAGCTTTACTTCAGCATTGAATGAAATTCCGCACTATCTCCAAGACAACGAGGAACTGCGTGCGAGTCGGTTGAAAGTTTTTCCAAGTGGAGAAAACGAAATTAGAACACGTGATGTTTCGCGGTCTTGAACAGTCTCTGCCGCAACGAACGTAAATCTAATCCGACCCGTGTTGCTGGCAGCAAATAGCTGGAGGATTCTCGCCTGCGGCGATGATAAAACAAAACTTCGCATAAAAACATACTGCCTCTACGGCTGTGTATACTATACTGTTTTTCTTTATTTCTCTCTCTCTCTCTCTCTCTCTCTCTCTCTCTCTCTCTTCCAAATATTTCTCCATCCTTTACCTCCAGAGAAGAATACAACGTGTAATACACGGATTTCTTACTACACGCCCAATTTTTGTCCCGTGATATTTCGTTCAACGTGTTTTTAATACGTTGTTCCTGGATGTTCCTTGTCCGAAATTTCTCTTCACATTTTATTTACCAACGAAACAATATATTTTTTCAAGGCGCTTTGCGTTCCGGATCACATAAATTTCGCCCGATCAATAAAACCATAAATACACGGACAGATATGTAAAAAAATTCCCTGACAGCGCTGCTTTCTAATTCTGACGAATCGACGAGAGAAAATTCCACGCTACAGTGGATTTTCAATAATTCTGATTGAACCCAATTTCTGTTTTTACAATCATCTACAACACCTGTTATACCTCAGTCCTCCTAGCCTATTTCATAAAACGTAATAAATTAGTGAACAAAGTACTTGATTCCTTTGAACCTTAGTATGTGTAACAGAATCTTCCATTTCGATTTTGATGGTTTTGATGGTTTTCTAACTTAAAACGTAATAAACAAGACAACCAGGATAATTGCACGTTGGACAAGTTTTGCTGGTTTCTTTGTGAAGAGCGAACATACCGGAAAAAATAGAAGCAATGGCCGCGATTATGAACGAGATGACGACGCCTGGCCCGGCGACGCTGCGCGCCACCATCCCCGCGACTAGGTACATCCCTGTCCCAACGCAGGAGCCAACCCCCAAAGACGTCAGGTCCAGAGTCGTCAGGCACTTCTGTAAAACGGAAATGGGCACCAAGTTAAATTTTCCACTTCTCCTTTATGTGCGACTACATTTATAATGATAAAACATTATATTTCACTGTTTTTATATATTTAATGCATATATATTTTATATATTTTATATATTTCCTTTATACGTGACATTTATAATGATAAAACATTATATTTCGCACTGTTTTTTATATAATTAATGCAATGTTGTTACTTTTAATTAAGTTAAATGTAATTACTTTTAATTACTTTTAATTAAGTAGCATTATATTGTGTAATAAACTCTAATAATACAATATTATCCAATAAACCAAATAATGTTATGCAGATTATTGATAATTTAAAGAAAAAAGGGGGAACCATATTCTGAAGATTCCCTAAATATAGAATAACGTATTTCCTTAAATATAGAATAACCTGTCAATTCAAAGAAGAAAAATTCACCAAATTGGTGAAAGTAATACTGAAAAATTCTGATGCGTAAGAGGACTATTCAGATACTGTTTAACAGTTAGATTATAACTGTATTCTTACGAATATAACTACAGAAACTAGGATCTATTTATTCTAATGCCACAAAATATTATACATGTTGTACAATATTATAAACAAATATTGTGCAACAAGTACATGATATTTCACATTTTACATAATTCCTTCAGTCTTCAAATGCCTCGATACATAAAAATCTCTGGAGCACAAAATTTCACTACATCCGTCTGACACGTGAAGGAACGAACTTCGAGGGAAACCTCTGCCAAGTTCTCAGACGAGAAAGATGAAGTCTAAAGGGAGAAGGTGTAAGGTGGCAAGAGAAGAAATTAATTTTCCATCGCCGACGATGATTGATCACGACCGCCAGAACAGGGGAATCTGAAGTGGTGTAGGAGTCGAACGTAAGGGGTTGCAAAATCCTGTTAAAAATAGCCGAGGATCGATACGTGCAGGTGGATAGCATGTACACACACACGGGGATGCTTCTTTCCCTCAAGGATCCAGAATCTTAATGTCAGCCGTCTTGTCGTCGGAGGGAAAGGCGATTTAAATTTGTCCGCAACTCCGTTACAGGCTGTCTGTCATCGAAACATTTCGCCAACATCCGTTCAACGATGCAAATAAAGTTTCTTGTCTGCTGGAGGATCACGTCGAATCTATTCCGGGGAATTTCTAAGGGAAATTTGTACGAGAAACTCGGTACTTGTTCAAATTCTTTTCTTCTTGTTCTGAGAAACTGAAGAACTCCAAGAGCCTGCTTGAAAAATTAAGGTAACTTTTGAAAACAGTCGAGAGAGATTTGAGGAAGAGAAACGAGGGGAGGGGGGCTGTGCGAAGTTACGTTTGAAAAAAAATACAGCTTGCCTGTAATTTCTGCTTGGAATCGGTCGGATGCAGTGGCTCAGGTCCAGCTTTCCCCTGGTCACCCTGAAGACTCTCCACATTCTTCGTTCGTATAAATTTCCCAAAGAGCTCCAGGCCCTTCTCTCGGTCCATCAATTCGAGCTTCATTTTTTTCCTGCAAGCAAACAACAGCGCGAGCACATTAGTGCCTGAGAAATAAACAAAGGAAATTTCGCAATTGACGGAAACAAGGGATTCTCGAAGGGGATCAGAAACAGGGGGATTTCTTCAAATCTGTTTCGTCGGATCCTTCTCAACGTCGCTGGCTAAGCTCTGACGTAATTGAAATTTGGCTGGACTCTCGTATATCACGGTGGCAGGCATTCTTTCTGCTACGGACATTTTAATGGGGCCATTCCTCATCCTGAATTATTCTGGACCTTCCCAACCTTCGTCCAATTAACAAACGCCCGCGTTTTCTAGCCTCTGTTTTTGCCTTCTGCTTGGTGAAATTGAAAACTCGCGAAATTTATTTGAAATTCAGAAAGGTGATCAATCTTCTTTTTTTCCCAATTCGACGTTAAGAGTTGTTTCGTTGAAAATTTGAAAAATTTTCTCTCCACGTTAAAAAAGAAAACGTAGAAAATTACGAAAACCATAATTACCAAGAGGAAAGTGTAATTTAGAGACTCGGGCTGAAGTTTGATACGTGATGCTTCGCGAGTGGACTCGACGGTGGTCCCAGTGTGGTTTTTCAAGAGGGTTAGAAAGTCGCACGGGCGAATTATCGATTTATTATCCAGCGACGTCTGGCGTCGTCTGCGCAGCGCTCGTCCTTTGTCCTCTCGCGCGGCATCCTCGCAAGAAAAGAAAAAAAAGAAAGAAGAAGGAAGACTAGACGGCAGAGGAAAATTACGTCTCGCGACCTCATCGCTCTTAGTCACTTGCTAGGGAAGATATTGCTCGAGGGAAACACCCTCTTGGATACAGAAAACCACCTGTCCAACACGCGACCAAGGATATTCCGACGTATCAACATTAATTCCCAGCGACTTTTCTCCATCGGGATGCCACGTTCGTGCATGAAACGTTTGTTTCAATTTGCGAGAGGTCAGCTTTCTTAAAAAAAAAAGGGAAAGAAAGAACATTCGCGCAAGAAATTCCGCGACATTTCGAAAGATTAGCTAGGCGAAATAAGATGAACGAATGAAATTCCTCGCTGAGCGAACTGAACGTTTCTAGCCGCGAAGGAAAATTAATTAGGTTCGTGGAGAACGAACGAAACATTTTTCCGGAAATGCACCGGGGTTCCATTTAGGTTGGCCGCTGCTTTTAAGAAGGGAGAGACAGCGGATTAAAAATACGATGAAAGACGTCGCCATAGTTGTGAAGGAGAGGGGGAGAGGAGAGAGAAGAAGGATTATGCAAGGGTGTAAACAGGAAAGGATAATCGTTCGAAAGAAGAAAGCGGCGCACTCTGTGAAAGGTTCTCGCGTAATAAATTATTCAGGCCACGCTCGGGAAAGTAGCCCCGGCGTCTATGAAAATGCCGCTTGCGCTCAGCCGTGCTAATGGAATTCCTGAACGTTGTCCGATCGCTTCACAAAGCCATTCTGCCGCGCGCAGATATTCTCGCCCGTGTTAAATCAATCACATCTCCGCGGACAGAACATCGTCTCGGAATTTCCGTTTGTCTGGGTATTAAAAATGTGTGCGCAGGAATCCGAATGTTTACTTGAGGTTACTTACTTGAGGAATATCGTCGAACGCGGCGGTTTTAGCTTCAGAGCGAATTTGAAATAATTAATTTAAATAATTTGAATTTGTTGAAATAATTTCGATCAAAATAGTTCGGTTGAATTTTTAAGTCACAAGGGGGGCGCTAAGAAACTAGGGGGGCGCTAAGAATCTAGGGGGGCGCAGAGAATATTTCAGTCCCGCAGCCTCGAATCAGTACACGATGCAGACCACCGTGGAGATTTTAGTCGGCAGGAATCCTACACTATCCAGTTCCGTAACATGGGCTGGGTGTCTTATGCAAGATTTCCTCCACGTATAAAAAAAAAAAATAAGGGGGCACTAAGAGTCTAGGGGTGCGCTAAGAGTCTAGGGGGACGCTAAGAATCTAGGGAGGCGCTAAGAATCTAGAGGGGCGCTAAAAATCTAGGGGGCCGCTAAAAATCTAGGGGGGCGCTAAGAATCTAGGGGGGTGCAGAGAATATTCCAGTCCCGCAGCCTCGAATCAGTACACGATGCAGGCCACCATGGAGGTTTTAGTCGGGAGGAATCCTACACTATCCAGTTCCATAACATGGGCTGGGTGTCATGCAAGATTTCCTCCACGTATAAAAAAAAAAGAGGGCCGCTAAGAGTGTCTAGGGGGACGCTAAGAATCTAGGGAGGCGCTAAGAATCTAGAGGGGCGCTAAGAATCTAGGGGGGCGCAGAGAATATTCCAGTCTCGCAGCCTCGAATCAGTAGACGATGCAGGCCACCGTGGAGGTTTTAGTCGGTAGGAATCCTACACTATCCAGTTCCGTAACATAGGCTGGGTGTCTTATGCAAGATTTCCTCCACGTATAAAAAAAAAAATAAGGGGGCACTAAGAGTCTAGGGGGGCGCTAAGAATTTAGAGAGGCGGTAAGAATTTAAGGGGGGCGCTGGGTACTTTGGCAACTTCGGATCAGGTTTCGAATCAAGTTGCACCGAGTTTGAGCTGGCAAAGTATCGAAGCTGTTCCCGTAATTTCTCCATCGAGAAACTTTTGTACAGGTCGTTTTCGCACGCCTCGAAACGAGAGTGCCAATTAAAGGCAAGATGGCGCCGAAACCGGCGATGAAACGAAAGTTTCGCAATTTCGCTGGGCGACGTTCGAGCGTACTGCACGCTTGCGAGAGCGTGCAAGAAATAATCGTGAGTTGTCACGTGTCGGGGCAGGCAAGTTACTCGACAACCAGTCACAAAAACGGCTCGTCGGTATGCGACGCGGCCGTTTCCCATCGCAGCGGACACGTACGCGGTTTCAAGTGTACGTTTCTGATGAGTTTTCTTTTTTTTTTTTTCGCCCCGGAAGCGCGATTTTTTTTTTTTCCACCTGACCTCCTGCCACCGCTCTCCCCTTTTACACTTTTATTTCGCGAAAGTTCCATCTGGCGCGCAACTGCAAAGCGATCGTTCCTAAAATTTCTCATTGCACGATTCGAGAGATGGTTTTCGTTGAGCCCTGGAAATTTCGTTCCGGTGGATGTTCATTTTTTCGGAAGAGAACACTTCGGAAGAGAAGAAGAGGCAGAGACACGCCACGAGTCTTTGGTCAGGAAATGTTCCCTGCGAATGACGACAGAAGAGCCAGTGAGATGAGCTTTTTCCAGGACGCAATCTCAATCCCGGATGTCAAGTCTTTCTGGTAGATGAGCTTGCACGCCACGGTATTGTTTGCTGCCGACTGATGCGTTGCACCGCGCTGCCTCTTCTCCCTGCACTGTCTCTCTTTGAGCCTGAAATTCCAACGCGGCGGGGAGAATGCAACGCTGTTGTTAATTGTATCGTCGCCCGTATTGCCACTACTCCCTCAGGTCAGATAGCCTTCTGACGTCAAACCACGTACACGCATACCCCGCTACCATTTATCAAGCTTTATTAATCCTCATATCGTTAAATTATAGAGTCTAGAAGCCGCGAGAATTTTTGTTTCACGCAATTTCTATTCGACGTTGTTGTCGGTGGTCGTTATTGTACGAAAAGTGCGAAAGATTCAATGAACGAAGCTCCGAAATGATCAAAACTCACAGATGCAACCGACCAAGTAAACTCTAAACTCGAGCAGCTCAAAATTCCACCTAAATTTCAGTTGGACAATCAACTTTATAATTCATCGTACCTCTTTGGCGTCCTGTCTAGAAAATGGCAAGATCGCTAATCTCTTACATGTTCGTTCGTCAGGCTTCTGATCATGAAAATTGTTACTATTACGTTGTTATATAATTGTGTACAATTGTATAGTCGTTATTATTATTAAAATTATCATAACATTTGTTATAATGAAAGATCGTTCTGTCAAATTAAATTTGAGTAGCTTAAAAGTAACTTGATGTCAGAAAGTTGATGTTCAAGTAACTTCAAGTAATTTAAATTTGATTAACTATTTAAAAAAATTGTTTGAAAAGGAAGGGAAGAGACACAGAGGAGGAGGGCGTTAAAAATTGGAAAATTTTGGGAAAATTGTACCGAGAGATTGCTAGGCGAGGAAACACTTCTTCAGAGGTGTTCCCACGACGCTGAGGAAAATTCACCCGTCCCTGGGCGCTGCCGTGAATTTTTCCATTCCTCCCCCTCCCCCCCCCTCCCGCCCTCGGGAAAGTTACGAATTCCACCTCCTGTGTTTCGAGTATGCATACTCCCGCTTCGGGGCATAGTCGTAGGAGAAACTTTCCGCGAGTTAATTCGATACCTCGAGAGAAGTTCCATCCCCGTTTATGGGACAAACTGCGAGAACAGTTATAATCGAAATAAATTATGAACGCTCGTCCGAAAACAAACTTTCTTCGCGAGTCACTTGCCAGCGATCGCCGAATTTTCCTTTTTCCTCGGAGGCAGCTGCCGAATAAACAATTGCAAATGCGGCAGGCCGTAGTTTCAGATATAACGGTGGTCATCCATAGAGTTCAAGTTCCTTTTTTTTTTTTTTTTAATGGTTCAGAGGTTCGCGTAGGTATTAATTTCAAGTGGGGGAGGAGAGAAGAGGGCAAGGAAGCGAGAGTTTCACCCCTTTGCTAAACCCTGACGGCGGGATTCGTGCACACCCGGGGGAATTTATGAAGCGCGATGCGTTTGTTTATTTATGGCTGACGGTGCATCCGCAACGGGCGATAAACGGGGCTGCCGGCCACTAAACAACTTTCTGCATGAAGGAGTGCGATACGACCTAACCTAGATGTTGGCCAAGAGCTTGCCAAGGTGAAATCACCCTTTTTCTCTCCCTCTCTCTCTCTCTCTCTCTTCATTTTTTTTTTTTTTTTTTTTTTTGCTGAAAGATGATGCAAATATCTCTCGATGAACCGCAAGATTTCCGGTTAGATATTTCTACAGCGAGTTTCAAAGAGAACAATATCGCGATATTAAAAAAGGACGAACGAATTTTAGATCTGCTTCTGTATACTGTATGTTTCACAAATC